TGATACTGACAAAATAGGTTATTTTAAGTATGATAACTATATCATTTTTTTTGTTTTGTTTTTGTGCTGGGAATTGAACCCAGGGCCTTGAACATGCTACACAAGCATTCTATCATCGAACTACACACTCTGCATTTTTAATGTTCATTTTTTATTTTTATTTTTGCAGAATTGGATTGAACCCAATGATGCTCTGCCAGAGATACATCCCCAGCCTCCACTTTAAACTTTTTTTTTTTTTTTGCGATAAATTTCTCACTAAATTGCCCAGATTAGCCTCAAACTTGTGGTCTTCCTGTCTAAGTCTCCCTGGTTGTTGGAATTAGAGGTGTGATGTTAGTTTTTTTTTTTTTTTTTTAAGAAAACTCCTTATAACTCATAAATATTTTGATAAAATGCAATTTATGGTATCTGTTTCACAATAATCTTGAACAGGGGTCAGGGGAAGAGATATAAACAAAGATTAACCCTGAGTTAATAAATATTGAAGCTGTGTACATGGAGTTAATTTTTCTATTTTCTCTATTTTTGCATGGGTTGGACATTTTGTAAAATAAACTTATTCCTTAAATAAGGGAGATTATAAAACTGATGGGAAGCTCTGATGACATGATTTGGACTTGGTGATCTTCACTGTAGGTTATATGGCTGGGTCACCTGCTGAGAAACTCCTTATGTATTTTTAGGAGATACATTCCCTTGGTTAGATTTCTCACAGAAAATTTATTCTAATCTTGCCCAAAGCCTGACCCTCAACTTTCTGGGGGACAAGGAGTGGAAAGCTGGCTGGTGATGTGGGCATTTATTGAATGCACATGTTCATTCAATGCTCCTTTTTCAAAACTTAATTCCTGCCCTCAGTTGCACAGCCCACATCTTTTGTTTTGCCTTTTTCAGAAAATAAGGTTCCAGTCTTCTGTGTATAACACTTATAATTAGAAAAAAAAGGGGGGGTTTCCTAGAAAAAATATACTTGAAAAAAAAAACAAAGGGTGAGGACCTAGGACTCAGCTTGCTTCCTAAATAGTTCACAATTAATTCTCATTTTAGTCCCTTCATTCTTACTTTCAGGGTTACCTGGTGTCACCCATTCTTGAACCTTTTAAGGATTTTTAAAAAAATCAACCTTTTTTTAAAAACATTAATATGTGGTGCTGAGGATCGAACCTAGGGCCTCATCCGTGCTAGGAAAGTGCTATATCACTGAGCCACAACCCTAGCCCCAACTTTTTAAGGATTCTATGATGCAAAATAGACTCGTTCTTGTCTCTTGCAATAAAATTTGGCTTTGTGGATTTGATTAACATTACTACTTATCCACTTTTCAGTTTCCCCAATTTTGTACTTACCTCTTCCATCATTATTCCTGTGCATAAAAGTGTTTTTATTTTTTAAAAGAAATTCTTATTTTAAAGTATTTTTAGTTGTAGAGGGACACAATGCCTTTATTTATTTATTTTTTATGTGGTACAGAGGATTGAACCCACTGTCTTACACTTGCTAGGTAAGTGTTCACTGAGCTACAACCCAAGACCCTAAAATAAATCCTTTACTGTAGCATCAGTGCAGTTTTTAGAGGGAGCAAAAGCAGAAATATATAATTCAAGTTACAATTGTTACCAAGCTTATCACCCTTTTAAAATTAAGTGTTTATTCTCCACTTCTGTGAAGGTAAAGATCTCATACATTCAATGTTTTTAGTGAAAATTTTCTTTACATTTAGAATGTAATTAAGTTAAAAAATGGAGTTTTACTTGGTGATTTTTGTTTTGGTAACTCTTCAGTATTAGAACTATTAGGGTTTTAAGCAACAGGATTTATTTTTTTTTTGTGTGTGGTCCTATGGACACTCAATCATTGGGCCACATCATTATTTTTAAAAATTTTGAGACAGGGTTTTGCTAAGTTGTTGCTTAGGGCCTTGCTAATTTGCTGAGGCTGGGCTTGAACGTGTAATCCTCCTACCTCAGCCTCCCAAGCCGCTGGGATTACAGGCATATGCTGCTCCCAGCTAACACTAATGGGTTTTATTATCTATTATTTATTACCTGACTCATAAATTCCTTAAAAAGTATGCCTACCAAACTTAATACTTTATGGCAATCTATTCTAGTTCTCTTTTAAATGTACAGAAATGTCTTTTTGTAGTGTCTACCCATGGATTGTAGTTCTATGTCCTTGGATAATTGCAGAACACAATTAACCCATTGCTTATAAAGTAGTCCTTCAAAAACCTCAAAACAAATCAAAAACTTCTTTTTCCACCCAGTAAAATACCTGAAATTTTCTCAAATGCTTTCTCACTAGATTCATTTTAAATGTTCTAGAAACATCAAAATATTCCTGGATGTCAAATTAGTAATTTGAAGTTTCTTACACTAAGACTGAGATTTAATCAGGGGTTTTTAAAGTTAGTATCAGGATCATAGTAATATTTTGGGGTGACAATGGTCATGTTGAAAATGGATTGAAGAAGATAGAGTTTAGAGGCAATCTGTTTTGGGTTCCATATAGAGGTTTCTTAACTTTCATAACAGAATGTTAATTTGTCACCTCCTCCAGCAAGCTGTGTCTGAAGGTTTTGACTCTCCAACTAGCTAAGCTATCTAAACAAAACAGCAACATTTCAGGATGGTCCAGAACTTAAACTGGAATTTCTAGCTTGATAGATTCTGATAAAACACTAACTAAAAGAAGTGATATTAAGGGATATACTATATGGTTCTCAAGCAGGGCTGAGGATTCTGATTTCAAAGTCCAAATGCACAACAAATGAATATTTTCCAAAAGCATATATATGCATCATAAATGATCAAAACTTTACACTCTAGAAGAGAACATTTCATCATTAAGCATCAAAGCACAACTACCTCCATATGTGCACACATGGGGGAAGAGTGTGGTCTGTGAAATTTGTTGGTCATCAAATAAAAGGTTCTCTTATCAAAAATTATGGAAAACCACTGCCAATTTCCAGACACATTACATTAAGTTCTGTTCTTAAATCATGTTTTATCATCTGAAAGCCAGATATACAGTTTTATGCTTTATAGAAACAATTTTAACTGAATACATCCTAAATGTTTTCATCAACAAACAATATAAGTGGCCATATAAAACTATTGCTAATTTTCTGTAGATACTGAATCTGAGAAATAATGCTTTCATTTATAACTTTTGTATAATAAACCATAGTTCACATGGAATTTGTTACTAGAAAATTTTATCTCTTGAATTCCTTGTCTATTTTACTAGATATGTAACCATTTTCCAAAACATTCTCTGTGAAACAACATAATCCATGAAGATGCTCGCCTAAACAAAGATTCTATGGTTAATTATTTTTGGAAAGCAATGTTTTTATAGGTTCCTAGTGGACAATGTTTTTATAGATTCAGAATGGACATCAACATATTATAGGCCTTCAGAAATTTCTTTTAATTAGTGTGTTTTAATTATACAGAAAAATGGGTTAGGCCCTGAAAAATCTTTAAGGGAACAACAACAAAATGACAAAACACACAACCTTACCTAATCAGAATTTCCTAAATTTATTATTTTTAAGAACACTAACTTATAAAACACTTTCAAGAAATTCTGAGAAATGCTGGGTAACCCATTGTTCATCTCTTTCTTTTAAACTACTGTGCGGAGGATGAAACCCAGGCCTGGAACACACTAACTAAGCACCCTGCCGCTGACAGTGTTCATCTCTTTACCAGTGAGAGAACTTAGGCTAAGTTCTCAATGATGTTAATAAAAACAAACAATTACTTTTTAACTTCTATTTTAATAGCCTTATTATGTCTTGGTATTTCATTCTGTCTGCAACAAAGGACACATAAAGTGATAATATTTAGAAGAGAAAGGGAAGGATATGAACACAGAGAATCTTGAAATATATATAAAAATATATTTGTAAGAGTATTTCATATGCTATGCAAATGAACATAGTAATATTTAAGAAATAAAGTTAGAAAAATTTTGTTGTATTTATAAGACTTCAAACTCTTTCCTAAGTAAATTGCTACTTAACACTGTATTTCTGACTTATCTGTAATTCCTAAATCTACCCATTCTCTCACTTCCATTTTCACTCTGAAGCTTAGGAATCCTGATATACAATACAGAGAAGTACCAGTTTTAAGTTTAATACCTTGGCAAAAAATAATCAATGCTTATCAATTAAAAATGTTTTGTGTTGAACTGAGGTAAAACTTTATGCCAAAAGATTTGGTGTATGCATATGGGAATTGCCTAGGTAAGTCTAAACACTTGGGAGGATAATTTGTGCAGAATTTATTAGTCATATGATCCCGGACAAGTTCATTTCTTTTGGTACTGGGGTTGAACCTAGGGCCTTGCACATGCCAATCAAGTGCCCTACCCCTGAGCTATATCTCTGGCTTTTTTTTACTTTTAGATGAGTCTCACTTAATTGCCCAGACTGTCCTTGAATTTGGGATCCTCCTGCTTCAGCCTCTCAAGTAGCTGGGATTACAGGCGTTGTGCCACCTTGACTGGCTTTAAGCAAGTTTCTTAATCTTTCTATACCTCAAATTCTTCTTTTTATAGGAACATTGTATGGATTAAACAAATTATTTATTGTTATCTAGAAGTGTTTGACAGTGAGAGCCAGGCATGGTGGTGCATGGCTGTAATTCAAGTGGCTCAGGAGGCTGAGGATTGTGAGTTCAAAGGCAGCCTCAGCAACTTAGCAAGAACCTGTCTCTCTCTCTCTCTATATATAGAGTTTGGGATGTGGCTCAGTGGTTAAGTGCCCCTGGGTTCAAACCCCTATATCCCCACCCCCCCCCCCAAAAAAAAAAAGTTTGATAAACCCTTGAAAGTGACTGTGCTCACTGAAAAACAAACAAACAAAAAAATATATAATTGTTTTTAAGAACACTAACTTATAAAACACTTTCAAGAAATTTTGAGAAATGCTGGGTAACCCATTGTTCATCTCTTTCTTTTATAAATTTAGTGAATACGTAAGATAAAGAAAGGATAAAGCCTCTGGGGGGGGTGGGCGTGTCTCACAATTAGCAGTCAGGAAAACCCTATGTAGGAGAACAAGAAGGACCAGTCTAAGAGTTGGTAAGGAAATGGAAAGTTGTAAACAACAGAATCATTATAATCTGGCATGAATGGTCAAAATACTGATTACTGAGAAGGTCTGGGAAATGTTTACTGGAGAGAGGGATTTCCCATTCTCATCAAGCTCATGGCTTCTCCATACTCAAATGTTTTCTTTTCTTATGTTCAGTAAGATTGGAGCTCACCCTGAAAGCTTTGCCACACTCCTCACATTCATAAGGTTTCTCTCCAGTATGAAGTCGCTTATGTCCAGTTAAAGCTGAGTACTGACGGAAAGATGTGCCACACTCATAGCACGTATATGGCTTTTCACCAGTGTGGATTCTTTTGTGTTGCTTCAGTACTGAATTATGATGAAAGGCCTTTCCACAAATCTCACATGTGTAGGGTCTCTCTCCAGTGTGAATTCTTTGATGATTGGTCAAGTTGGACTTCCCACTGAAAGCTTTGCCACATTCCAAACATTTATAAGGTTTCTCTCCAGTGTGGATTCTTTGATGGATGGTAAGGCAGTGCCTATCCTGGAAAGTTTTCCCACAATCTCCACATGGATAGGGCTTCTTCCCTGTGTGTTCTAGTTCATGAGCCCTGCGCTTACAGTTATGACGGAAGGCTTTTCCACACTTCTCACACTTGTAAGGTTTTTCCTCATTGTGGATTCTTCTATGCTTCTTGAAATCTGCCTTGATACTAAAGGCTTTTCCACACTGAGGGCACCCAAAATGTTTCTCCTGAGTGTGGACTCTTCTGTGTTTGCTTAGGTCTGAGCTTTGACTGAAGGCCCTCCCACACTTGTTGCACTCATAAGGTCGCTCCCCAGTGTGGACTCTTTTGTGTTTGGTGAGATCTGAACTCCCTCTGAAAGCCTTCCCACACTCCTCACATTCATATGGTTTATCCCCAGTATGGATTCTGCCATGGGCAATAAGGGAATGCTTAAACTGGAAGTCCTTTCCACAGTCATTACATTTGTAAGGCTTCTCCCCAGTGTGGACTATCTGATGCACACTGAGACGTGTCCTGGTCTTGAAGGCCTTCCCACAGTCCTGGCACTCATAAGGCTTCTCTTCACTGTGGATTTTTTTATGTCTGCAAAGAGCTGATCTGCTGTTGAAGGCTTTCCCACAGTGTGTACAGTTAAAAGGTTTCTCTCCTGTGTGGATTATGTAGTGTACAGAAAATTGATTTCTGGTCTTGAAAGCTTTCCCACACTCTTTACAGACATGGGATTTCTCACCAGAATGAATTTGATCAAGGAGAATTAGGTCTGAATGCCAGCTGAATTTTTTGTCACATTTCGTATATTCATGAAGTTTTTGCTTTGTAAACACTCTATTATATGAAATATGTTTTGAGTTTGAATTAAAGATTTTTTTAAGTACCTTCTGGTTCTTTCCCTTTTTGAAGGTCACTTCCGTAGAGCCTTCTCTCACTTCTCTCAGTTCTCCCCTTACAAATGTTTCCCATTGATTTTCTAGTTTGACATCCTGCATACAAACTTCTCTAACTTCAGGATCCTGGGAAACAATATTTAGAAGACTGTTACATTTCACCCAGAAGACTTCTCTGTTTTCAAATACTTCTTGTTCTGAAGGTGCCTTCTCACTCCCAGGCCAAATCCTGCCTGTTGGTACTTAAAAGAGAAAATAAGACTGTCAGAGGAGAGAAAATAAGAAAATAAGATAGGAGAGGTGAAGCAATGTGAATCTGTTTGAAGAGTAAATGACATAAAAAAATAAAAACAAATTAAAAAATTTTCATAAACACAAAAAAAGAGCAAATAACTTTCATGCTAGAAAAGTTACTAACATTGTGTCAAAGGTCAGGACATTATATGACCATTTTGTCACATTAAAGGGAAGAGACTGAAAGCTTCTCTATCATTCACCTGGGTAGGCTGAAACATTGAGAAGTATGAAGACATTTTAAACTTGGCAAACTTTATATAAAATCTTTACAAAAATACTCCTCTTCTACAGTCTCCTAGTTTAGTGAGCAGCAACTTCATACACCTAGCCACAACTTCATACACAAGCTAGAAAACTGAAAATCATCTTTATTTCCTTCTCCCTCCCCTCATATTTACTCAGCTAACATTTTACAAATTCTAATTATGAGGTGATCTGCTAAAGGGGTGCTGAAATCCTGATGCAGTCCCCTTTAAAAGAAGTATCTGCTTTGATCCTAAGAGTGGGTTCTGGATGGCCATATTTCTCCTGTGTGACTGTCCATTTGGGTGGGAAGGATTAGAGCTGGGTAACACTTTGATCCAAACCAGGCTAGATTCTCTCATCTTAGCCTTTGGAATAGTGATCTGAGTGCAGGCAAGATCAGGCTCTGAGAGAAGTGGTGGCAGGAAAGTATATGACACAGGGGAGGGAATGTTCTGCCATTTGCTCTGAGGGGCAAAAAAGATCAATTTGGCAGAAAAGAATGAAGAGAAACAGTTGGAGAGATAGGCCTGATTTAAGTGCCACGGCATACCCTGAATAAAGAGTTTATGTTCTTTTGCTTAGAGTAAATTTTTATTCTTGGCAACCAAACAATCCAAAATCAATCTCCCTTCTCCATTTCCACCTGTGCATTCTCACTAGCTATCTGTAATACCCCTCAAATGTCCTTTAGTCTGGTTCCCATTTAACATATACTCCACACTCCTTCCAAACCATTCTTTCTAATAATGTCACTCAACTTACAATACTTCAAATGGTACTCCAGAGTCACCCAGAAAGAAAGGAAGTAAAGCATACAGTCAAGAGCCCTAGCTGGGCTCAGATTCTAGTTCTGGTACCTAATAAATGTGTGAACTTGGAAGGATAACTTCAATTCTCTTGAGTCAATAGCTTTATCTATAAAATGGGATCATCTGTCCATAATTACATGAGTTAATGTATATAAAACACTTGCCATACTGATGTACTTAACCAATGTTAGTTACAAAGTTCAAGGCATGTAGCTTATCAAACACTCATAGAATATCCTTCAAACCATGATCTTGCTTTTTTCTACTGCTCCTGAACTTTCTCTACAAATTACCCTAAGTTCTTTGCTCTGGTCATACTCTACTAGTCCAAGTTTATTTGTTTTATTCCACAATACTTTCTCACATGTTATTCCCTCTGCCTCAACTGCCTCTCTCCTCCTTCAACTTATCGCTCTCTGAGCCCTGCAATAACTCATATACAAAGAGGAAAGCAATTTTCTGAGCTTTTTAAAAGGGCTTAACTGCAAAAGGTTATTAGATAGATTGGAGGGGACCAATTAGATAATGAAAGACTACTACCCATGTTTGTTGCTGTTGTTTTCTTTTTCTTGAGTTGTAAATGGATTTCATTTCTGGGGCCTTCAGGATGGATGAACTATCACTAAGAACATTCTATAATCATTTTGTACATGGAAGACGATACGGAACTAAAAGCTTCATCATCACTCACCTGGGAAGGAGCAGCTCAGGAACCTCCCGTACTGTAGATCCTGAACACATGGCTCTGCTTCTTGCTCCAGATGGGAGATCAAAGGAGGTTTAGGAAATGAAAATCCTGGTTGCAGAGAAGGAATGAGACTGTATAGAACAACAAGGAGCTGTTCTTACACTTGGCCCTGATCCCTCTGTTTGTGTAAGGAGACAGGAAAGAAATACCTACTTAGGTAGAGAAAAGGGTTTCTTTAGCATTCTGGAAACAGGTACAAGGATTTGTTTGGAAACTGTCTTAGAAAAGCCTTAGAAGGCTACTATTTTAGGCCCCTAGAAGGCAGTTCACAACTAGGAGCTGAACACATGCCATTTAATGGAAAAACTAGGGAGCTGAAGAAGCAAGAACCTGAGGAAAAGAGAAGCTAGGTATCTCCCTTTCACCCAGACAGAGTACCATTCCAAAGAATTAGAAAACAATAACAAAAATGCCTAAAAGGTTACCTGTTGTACAACAAAGGTAAACCAAAACTTTTATTTTTAGGCAAGATCCTGATGGTTAAGAAAGAGGGCTCTAACTTTCAATATGCGAGCCTATACACAACAAAATGAGCATTATTTTATTTTTTTAAGGATGGAGAAAGCACTACGCCAAGTGCAGAAAAGGTTCTTACCAAGGGATACCATGTTTCCATAATTTTCCAACATCACATCTTTGTAGAGATGCCTTTGAAAATAGGTCAGACTCTGCCACTCCTTACTAGAGAAGTTCACAGCTATATCCTCAAATGTTAGCGATGCCTGAAACAATAAGTTCCTGTTGTCCAGGAGAAAACCCCACAGTTTCCTCAGGAAACAGAGACAGAAGAAAGGAATTTATAGGGAGAAGGTTTATAGAAGTGAAAGACTGTTACTGTTTGGTCGATATTTAGAAATGAAGTGAAAGGGAACACAGGCTTTTAATACTGAAAAATAACAAAAGAGGAAACAATCTATAAGTGGTTTGTTCTCCAACAAAATGTTCCTTATGAGAGGGAGCATCTTGGTTTGAGATTTGTGTAACCATATAATGTAGTGAAAATAAGGCCAGGGGCTGGAGATGTGGCTCAAGCGGTAGCACGCTCGCCTGGCATGCATGTGGCCCAGGTTCGATCCTCAGCACCACATACAAACAAAGATGTTGTGTCCGCCAAAAACCAAAAAAATAAATATTAAAAAATTCTCTCTTTCTCTCTCTCTTTAAAAAAAAAAAAAAGAAAAGAAGGCCATATTTAGGAGGTATTGAAATAGTTTCAGGAAGGATGAAAGGTGCCTCAGCTCACTTGGGCCCAGCTCATCAGTGTGGCATCTGTTTCTAGTAGGTTTTCTTGACTTCCATCTTTAGTGAAGACAGGATATTGAGAAGCTGGTAGAACTGAGGGAAGAGAAATATGCAAGAGTCAGTTTAGCATAACAAAACCTGCTTCAATCTCTTCTTCACCAAATGCAGAAGCACAGCAGCTCTAACCTAGGGGTCAAGCCTACTGTCATATGATATTCTCTTCTCCACTATTTCTCTAGGCTTAGCTTTCAGTGTTGAGCTATCAGCACTGGCATGGCAGCCAAGCCAGCTTTAAGTACATTCTCTCCCTCTCTCACTTACTACATAATTTTTTTCTGGTTTGTCTTTGAATAATCTTACCCCTCCTCAAATAGATCAGGTAAAAAGGCTTAAATTACTGATTCTCAGCTTGTACAATAACATTTCTTTCTGTATCTGAATACTGAGGTCATTTCCTCCAAAAGATTTGTGGGGAGAGAAGGGACATATGGGGGAACAGGAGATGTTGAACAGTAATATCCAGTAACAGGTCAAGTTTGTTTCTATAGGTAACTAAATGGCTGGTCTAACTTGTTAGTTTATTAGAATAAAAAATTTCCTTGTTTTACCAGAGAGAAATAACTTTTTTGCTGATACTGAACCCTTTTCTTACTAATTTCCTACTACTAAGCCATCTTCCCCACATGAATGTGGTATTGCATGCTTGGCATTTTTTTTTTTTTTTCAGTATTTTTTAGTTGTCGACAGACATTTATTTATTTGTTTATATGTGGTACTGAGAATTGAATCCAGTGCCTCACACATGCTAGGCAAGTACTCTGCCACTGAGCCACAACCCCAGCCCCACATTTGGCATTTTAAAAGGTAAAAGATTATATAAACCTAAGAGAAATGAGAGTATTTTTAAGATGAAAAAGGAAAGCTTATCAAAATGTCCAATAGTCTAGGTATAATCTATATGAATTGGGCAAGAAGTACAGCTTCATATTATTAATTAATGGGGTCTTGCTTTATTTCTTGAAGGTCATTTCAACCTTTCGTAGCTTCAATGTTTAAGGTGACTTACGTTTCTTAACAGTTTATCCCTAAATTAAAGTCTGAATGAATTCTTTTTGCTATTAACAAACCAGCAATGTTGAAGCCATCTGTTGGTAAGAATCTAGGATCACCTTTGGTCTTAGGCATCCAAAATTATTATTCAAATTTGACCAGAACTCTATTTTAGAACTAGATTTCTTCCCACAGAAATTTCCTAAGAACACCCACTTTGGTCTAGGTTACTCTTGAGCTTTTGACCAAGACTGAGGCTATGTCTTAATTATGGTGGTTCCAGTCACTTTTTCCACTGTCTCTCTATAAAATTGCCAAGTTATTCTGTCTCAGTCCCAAGCTCACCTAGATAGTACAGAGCTCATAGCAAATATATATTTTGCCTATAATGCTATATAAAAGTTCTTTTCCTTATAACATCAACAAACTTAAAGCTCTCAATTGGCTTTTTTTATCAACATTTTATTATGAATGTTTCCAAATATCCAGAAAAGTTGAAAAATGTAAATATCCATATACCAACCATTTATATTCTATGATTAACATTTTGCAGTATTTGCTTTTTTATCACATATCTATTCCTCTATCTGTACTTTAATCTATGTTTTGATATATTTCAAAGGAAGTTGCAAACATCAGTAACTTCAGCTCTAACTGCTCTAGCATATATATTACTAACTGGAGTCAATATTTGTTTAATTTTTTTTAAAGATAGAATTTACATGTAATGAAATATACAAGCCTTAAGTGTACCACTGGATGAATTTTGACAAAAGCATACCCCTATATAACTCAAATTCTCCTCCACATACTTATTGGGCTAGTTTTCTCAACTCATAGTGATGCTTAAGCTTTATTTTTTAGCTTTAGAATTTGAAAGGTCAGTTTCTCCTCTCTAGTTAAAGGAGGACTGGAAGACTCAGGTCATGAGTATATTTTATTTATTTTTAAAATATATTCTTTTAATTATTGATGGACACAGTACCTTCATTTTATTTATTTATTTTTATGTGGTGCTGAGTATTGAACCCAGTGCCTCACACATGTGAGGCAAGCACTCCACCACTGAGCTACACCCTAGCCCATGAGTATATTTTATTTTAAAAAATGAAACAAAATGGGCGGGGGTTGTATCTCAGTGGTAGAGTGCTTGCCTAGCTTGTGTGAGGCACTGAGTTGAATCCTCAGCACCACATAAAAATAAATAAATAAAATAAAGATATTGTGTCCATCTACAACTAAATAAAAATTTAAAAAATGAGCACCTAAGTTTGGTAATATCTATTATTTTCTACTTCTAAATTTATAATATATTCTATTATTAATTTTCATTTGATTTCTTATAAACAGAGTACTTATCTTATACATATACATAGTTTCTTCTTACATATAAAAATATATTTTCCTTTTTCTTTTTACAGGTAATATATACTAAAAAGCTTACTTTTGGGTGTGCCTAGTACTCTATTCAAAAGTTCATGGCTTTCTGGGCCCAATTTTGACTCTAGAATACCATGTCCCAGCAACTATCTCCAAGCACTCCTTTAATACAGATCTTCACATATCATCAAAGCAGAACTTTGATTTTTTGGTACTGGGGATTGAACCCAGGGGCAATCGACCACTGAGTCACATTCCTAGCCCTTTTTTGGTATTTTATTAGAGACAGGGTCTCACTGGATTGCTTAGTGCCTTGCTTTTTGCTGAGGCTGGCTTTGAACATTCAATCCTCCTGCCTCAGCTTCCTGAGAATGCTGGGATTAGAGAATGTACCACATGCCCAACATCAGAGCACACTTCTAATGCTCAGACTCCCATTAGTCCATTTTCCTTCACTTGCCTCAAAGGTTCATGGGAAACCATTTACTCTTTCTTTTGCCACTGCTCTTTTATTTCTCAAGTATTTATACTATAATTAAAATTTTCAGGGTTCTTAAAATATATATAAAGAAATAAAATTTAATATATTTTCAAATTGTATATGTTGGCAAAACTGTGTTTGGCTAGAAGTTACTAAATTATACTACAAAGTTTTTTTTCCACTTTTTTTAATTGTATATTATAGTTGTATATAATAATGGAATTTGTTCTGCTATATTCATACATGCACACAAAATATCAATATAATTTGCCAATATTACTTCCCAAGCATATCCCCCTTTACAAGTTTTATATGTGTAAATATTTATGTACAAACATGTATACCATTTATCATATATATTGCTATACAGTAAATGAGTGTATGCATTAGATTTCTTTGATAAATTTCTTTATATAAAATTTTCACAAAAAATTTGTATCTTTTTTTAATGGTGCCAGGGATGGAACCCAGGGCCTTGTGCTTGCTAGGCAAACACTCTTAACACGGAGCTACATTCCCAGCCATTTTTATAAATCTTTGTTTTTTGCCTCCCCAGCCCCTGTCCAAATGTGATTTAAGATTAGGGCAGAAACTGAATAACTAAATTATTCTAAATACTGATCCAAACCCAGTACAGAAACATGAGAAAGCATTCTATAAATGCTCAATAATGAATAGATTTTTGGATCTGGGAGGACCCATTCTATGTCCCTACTCTATTCTCAGCTGCATGACTCCTGTCACAATAGCTGTGCACCTCACCTTTTTTCTGAAGGAGCTGGGTATTGCTGGGAATGCAAAGTAGCTGGCATGGTGATCCTGGACTCTCATCTGAGAGCACAACCTATTGCAGAATGAAAAATGAATTCAGAGAGGTTATAAGAAAAATACATGGGAAGATGCATCCAATCATTAAGGATTTATCTGTAGAAAACACCTCCCAGAAATACCAAAAGAGGGAAGAAAATCAAGGACTCAGTTCTCAATATACATTATGAAAAACAAAAATGGCACCCAGTTATTCTCTAAAACTGAAAAACTAATAATCAGCAAGTAAAGCAGGAAAAACAATGTCAAGAAGGAGAGACCTTCACAAGGTCAGTCTAGGCCCAACACACTCTCACTGCTTTCCTTCTTTCTTGGACTCACTTCTCTTTTCTCCTCCTTGTGATGTATATTGTAGCCTCCCCTCTACTTACCTGCTGCATCTTTTTACTCAGCTTTCTTTTATAGTCTTCTACCACTGTCCTTATTTTCTTCTTGATGGTCAGATCTAGTTTCCAAACAAATAGTAATGAAATGGCTTCTGTATTTGCCAGTCTCCTTTTGGGGACACAAATCTTGGTGGTACCAGCAAAAGGAAACTCCTTGACTTACAGTGCAGCTGCTATCTGACTTGATGTTTTAAACATTGTTCTGGATTTCAGGTTCATCATCAACAAAAGTCAGGTGTGAACTCACATCTTGCTTTTCTACATATTCGGTGAAGGAGAGCAAAAAGAGAGGAGAGTGACCACGAGAAGGGGAATAAAACAGAATCACTGAGGACTTGGTGCATCTGTGGAGACGAGGGAGCACAGAAAGACAAATTGAAAGTGTTAATATTCCTACAATACAATCTCCATTGCTAACACCTTGGCCTGAGCAACCATTATTATCATTCCTTCTTTCAATTATTTCAATAGCTTCCTAACCACTCTCCTTGCTTCTATCCTTGCCTTCCTTTTCTCTTCTTAATACAGCTGTCTGAACATTCCAGTTACAACTTAAGTTGGTCATTTCATCTCTGCTCAAGACTCTCCAATTTTACTGAAATGAAAGCTGAAGTCTTTTGGCACAGGGCATTAACTCTTCTGCTCCCCCAAGATAAAAGCTTCAAGTCTTTTAGCAGTCTATAGGATGTGACCATTATCTCTGACATCCTCTTCTACTATTCTCCCCTTCATTGAATCCCATTCAGCCACAATGACCTTTATTTATTTTTTATTCCCCCCCCCCCCATTCCAGGCACATTTCCATCTTAGGCCTTTCTACTAGCTGGTCTGTTCACTTCAAGCTATTGCCAAATGTTGCTTATATGTCATCTTTCCAGGGAGGTCTACTTTACCTTATTTAAAATTGCAACCTACTTTCTCCTTCTAGTCCTGAAATACTTTACCTTGCTTTATGTTAATTCTTCTCTAGGCACTTTATCACTTTCCAGTATGGTGCATTAGTTCTTTATATATCACAACCATCATTTATTGTAGTACTACTCGCGCTAAAATGCAGGCTCCTAGACTCGATGAGGATAGGGAGTTTTATCTGACTTGTTCACTTTTGTAATCCTAAAACAGTATCTGCATTTGTAAATGCTGGATTAAAAATTGGCTGAATGAATGAATATATGAATGGATGCTAGAGATATGAATATAAACAAGAGGTCAGGATACCTTGGGAGCTAGAGTAAGAGGAAGTGAGAAAGAAATCGGCGAGAAATGCCAAGACTAAAGGAGGAAACCTGCAATGCACCCTCTTCCCGCATCTGACAGCAAAGCACCGCCCGCTCAGGGCCCGCGACCTCAGGTGACCCCGGAGCGGGCTGGCGTATTTAAGAAAGGCTGGTAGCGGCTCCCGCTCTTTCCCACTAGCCCATTAGCCAGTTAGGGCACCTGCGGTGGCAGCTCGAGAGCTCCTGGACTGAAGACTCCGTCCCACGCTGCACTAAGGCCCAGACCTTACCGCGGATACTCTCCGCACCAAATGAGAAACACAAACACAACACTAGCTCCACTTCCTACTCGGCCTGGATCATCACTTCCGGCGATTTTCTAGGAAACGCCTAGACTCTCTGGTTGAGCGGTTTCCTAGAAATTCTCAGTCCTCGCGGTTCCTATTTCGAGGATCTTACTCAAGTTTGTGGAGGGTGGAGGATCAGGGTAACATTGACTCACCGTCAGGGAGGGAAATCAAGATGGGAATGGACAGAAATTTTGTGGCAAATATATGAAAAAAGTCAACTTAGGACACAAATAATTGTCTTTTCCCCAAACAACAGTTTTTCTAAGACGATTTCAAGCTCACACAAATGTGGAGAAAAAAGTATAAGGAACCCACATAAACTCATCACTCAGAGCTAGATAAGATTTTGCTGCACTGTTTCATGTATGGTTTCCATTTTCCTGTTGAAATATTTAAAGCAAAACCCAGACATGTTATTTCAACTTCATCTCTTAAACGACGTGGACATTTTCTTATGGAATTACAAGACCATTATTCCATGTAGGAAAATAATCCCTGGTTATCACCTAATATGGGCTCCATATTGAATTTCTCTAAATATATTTTCTTTTTTGACTCAGGATCTAAAATCTACACGTTTAATATGGTTGGTTATATCTCTGAATTCTTTTGCCTATAATTATTATTATTTTTTTCCAATGCTGGGAATCAAACCTGGGGCCTCACACATTCTTAGTTCTCTTTTTAAATCTAGATTTAAAGTAGTTCCTTCCTTCCATCCTTTTCCCCCAATATAATGAACTCACTGAACAAACTGGGTCAGTTATCCTAAATGTTTCATTACTGGCTTTATTAATTTGTGTTCTCATTCAATTAATTTCTCTAGCCATGTATTTCCTGTAAGGTAGATGTTAGCTCTAAAGGTTTAATTAAAGTTAGATTTAACTTTTTTGGTAAGGATTCTTCTCAGGTAGTGCTATGTACTTTTTGCCACATTTACTTCACTCTTTGTTATGCTAAATTGATCAACCTTTCATATTATGGTTTCATCCATTGATAATCTTTGCCAGAATCAACCATTTCATTAGGGATTTTAAAACTGTGATTTGGGGCTGGGGTAGTAGCTCAGTGGTAGAGCGCTTGCCTTGCATGCATGAAGCACTGAGTAGCACCACATAAAAATAAATAAATAAAATAGAGATTGTGTTCATCTTCAACTAAAAAATAAAAATTAAAAAATTGTGATTTTTCTATTCTAACATTCACCCCCCCCCCCCCCCCCACACACACACTTACTAGCCTGAATTCCTCTGTAAAGAAGGGCTTACTTTAGGGGCTGGGGTTGTGGCTCAGCGGTAGAGCACTCACCTAGCATGTGTGAGGTCTTGGGTTTGATCCTCAGCACAACATAGAAATAAAGAGATAAAATAAAGATATTGTGTCCAACAACAACTAAAAGATAAATATATTTAAAAAAAAGAAGGACTTACTTTAAACCAGTTTAATAATCTAGTGAGATAAATTTATTTACACTATTTGTTCTTGGTTAACCCCAATTGTTGTTAAGATTTCTAAAATAATTAATACTGAAATTTTGCCAGGAGTCCATGTCAAGCTTTTCAGCCTGTTAATTATACTGTTCACTTTTTTTTTTACTTTTTGAAAATTTGGATATTTGATAGTCTTGGGAATCTGTTCCACTCCTCAGAAATGGCCTTCAGAGGGTCCTGTAGCCAATCTGATTTTAGGACTTTTCAGGCTAGGCATGAAGACCTGAACTCATTTAAGGCAAGTATCTTCCTCGTATTATTATTTGTCCTACATTCCCAATTTGAAAGTTATGATTATTGGTGGAGAAATAAAAGCTTATGTGGTATTAAGTAATTTTATAGGTCCCATGGCCATTATTAAAATTACCAAGTACACTTTCAGGGGCTTTTATAAATACAGCAAATATGTCAGGCACACCAAGGAATACTCAACACCTAGATTAAGACATAAAATATTACAATTAAATTAAATTAAATATTACAATTACAATTAAATTCTTTCGGTATCCCTTCCCAATTCCTACCTCCTTCTTTCCCAGATTTACTGTTATCCTGATTTTGATGTTATTATTCCCATCCATGTTTGTATTTTTTTAGTACATACATGGGTAGCCACAAATATCATAGTGTGTAATTTTTGTATTTTACAAATTCTGTACAATTAGTTTCCCTCCATACATATTTTTTAATCTTGAAAGATTTGATTTGATTTGGGTTCAATATTTTTGGGGAAAATTGGGTATATTGTGTACTTTGTAATCAACTTTGTGGTTTCAAGATTTATCTTTTTTTTATATATATATACATGTTTTAGTTGTAGGTGGACACAATACCTTTATTTTATTTTTATGTGGTGCTGAGGATTGAACCTAGGGCCTCATGTGTGCCAGGCAAGTGCTCTATCACTGAGCCACAGCCTCAGACCCTCAAGATTTATCTTTAATGAAAAAAGTAGTTCTAACTCATTTTTAACTGCCATAATCTTTTCCATTTTTTTCTTAATACTCTTATTATTTAAACTCAACTAAGAACTTTAGCAAGTATTTGCTTTTTTTTTGTCTTTTTTAAAAATATTTTTAGTAGTAGATGGACACAATACCTTCATTTTATTTATTTTTATATGTGCTAAGGCTCAAACTCAGTGCCTCCCACATGCCAGGCAAGTGCTCTACCATTGAGCTAACAGCTCCAGCCTTTTTTTGTTGTTGTTGTTGTTCTTTGATTTGATATAGATTCAATTATGCTTATATTCATTGTGAGTTTTTTTTTTTTTTTTTTGGTGGTGTTGGGGATTGAATCCAGGGCTTTGAGCATGCTAGGCAAGCACTCTACCTATTGAGCTATTTCCCCCACCTGGTTGCTGTTGTGGTGTTTTTTTTTTTTTTTAATAATTGTTTTCTTGGAATGTCTTCTTCTAAAGGATAATTTCCCAGAACTTTATGGTAGAAAGTTAGGTTATTTATTTAATTAATTTACTTTTTGGTGCTGAGCATTGAACTCAAGGCTTCAACATGTGCTAGGCAAACACTCTACCCCTGAGTCACCTAGCCACATTTCTCATCTAACATAGGAAAGAAAAATCCAAAAAGCATTTGCTATTTAGAGTTTAAATGTATATAACTAAGGATAGAAGCCAATCTTAAAAGCTTACATACTGTGTGACTTCAGTTACATTACATTCTGAAAAAGGCACACTAAGGAGACAATGAAAAGGTCAGTGGTTGCCAGGGGTTGGGCAACAGAGGATGAATAGGCACAGCACAGAGGATTTTTAGGGCATTGAAAACACTTTGTATGATACTACAATAGTGGTTACTTATTATTATACATTTGTCCAAACTCATAGAATGTTTAAACCAAAAGTGAACTTTTATGTAAACCATCGATTTTGGGTGATAATGATATGTCAATGTAGGCTGCTCACTTGTAAAAAATGTACCACTCTGGTTGGAGATGTTGATAGTGATGGGCTGGCCTGTGCATGTATGGCAATAAAAGGGTTCATGGGAAATCTCTCTGTGCCTTTAGCTCAATTTTTCGGTGAACCTAAAACTGCTTTAAAATATACCATCTATTAAAAATATTTACCACTGCCTCAAACTTTGAAATATATCTTTTGGGCTTACTCTTACTACTTTTGTATATTGAATATTTTCCATTCAAATTTCTTCTGCTAAACATTATATTGAGGGGCTGGGGATGTGGCTCGCCTGGCATGCGTGCGGCCCGGGTTCGATCCTCAGAACCACATACAAACAAAGATGTTGTGTCCGCCAAAAACTAAAAAATAAATATTAAAATTCTCTCTCTCTTAAAAAAAAAAAAACCATTATATTGAACTATAACATAATAAAGACATATTAGTGAAAGATAACAGAAATACATTTTGGAAAATAGGATACATTAAAATGTTTGTGACTCTTCATAATTTTAAAAATTAAAACGTTTAAATATAGGTGACACAGCTATAAGAAGAGGCAAATGCTGATATCAGTCAAAATTGCTTTGCAGTAATTTTATTTTCAGACTCATATTTAAGTTCATCCATTCAACAAGCACTACAGTAACTGTTCTAAAGGTTTGAAATACATGAGTGGACAAAACAGTTCAAATCTAATTTTAACAGTTCAACCACTAATTCTGATTAACTAGTGCTTCCATTTTATTTATCTTTTCTCTTCGTACACTGAAGAAGATAAACATCATATTCAACCTGATCTGTACCCCAAACATGGCGAGTTTTCCCAACAAACTAAGCTGTGATTCAGACAACAGTTTCAGGGTCTACAGGGACGAATCAAAGAGAAGAGTCCGCCACAGGTCCTAGAAGGGCAAGAGGCAGGTTGCCATGGAGACCACGGAGTGGAAAGGCTCAGAGCCTAGGTAGTGTGGGAGCTGGGGTGGGGTCCCGGTTTCTTTTATTTCACTTGGAAGTGTGGGGGGCCTTTGGACTCCCTCGGGCCGATGGCCTGGAAGTCCGGACCTGAAAAACCAGCGGAAAACACGAGGCTTCAGGGCAAGGTGTGGGACTATGGTGAAGGGCGGCTCGCCCGGGTCGCCAGCCCTGCGGCTGCGGGTGAGATGAGGTGGGGTGCGGTGTCGCGGGTTCCGCCTGTCGACACATTTTTTTCGTTTCCCTTCTCTTCTGTTTTTCTCTCTTCCATTTGCTCCTCTTTTTAAAAGCCATCCTTTAATATTAAACGGTTTTTTAAAAAAATTTTTATTTGGCAAACACTTGAATATAGCGTGCTTATTTCTGGGTCAGGTCTTGTGCTTTTATATTGTATGAATGAATTTAATTCTTAAAAATCCAGTGTGTGTGTTGGAGGGGTATCTGTCATTACCCTGGTTTTTACATGCGCACACTTAAACCTAGAGAAGGTAATAAACTTGCCTATGGTGAAAATGCAGGTAAACTGAGGTTAAGTAAACCTATGCGGGCTGGTGCCACCACTCTGCGTTCTTAGTCACAATACTAATCCGCCAGCACCAATCCCAAAATTCTTATTAGAACTGTAGTTTTCTTCATTTTAGCCAATATCTTTTCCTTTTGGACTGCTCTAGTCATTTGTGTCTTTAATTATTGATGTGGTACTTTTCTTCTGATATTTTCTCAAGAAAAGATAATAATGTGAAATGCAGAGCAGAGCCTCTGAACTTTCCGGGTGTTGAAAGTCATGCTGCCGATGGACACAAAATGCAGTGTGCTCCCTGGTTCAAGATGTCAGCTACTCTGGAGAAACTCTTTTTTTTTTTTTTTTTCCGGTGGTTCTGGGGATCAAACCCCAGGGCTTTGTGCATGTATGAATGAACTATATCCCCAGCCTGAAACCATTTATTTTTTTGATCAGTGTTCACAAGGGGTTTGGCTCACTTGAGGAGCCCTTTCTTCTTGAGAAGGACCAGGATGTCTTCCCTGGAAAGACAGGATTGGATGCGGGTACAGGATTCTCTTACCAGAGAGGAGGTCATAGGAATGAGAGGAGATGGAGAACAAGATCTGAATGGAGAACAGGTAAGAGGAGGCAGTGTCTCTACTGACCAGGGGAGAGAAACAATCAAAGTTATGTCTTTCTTCAGGGATAAGGGAAGTAGGGGCAAAGGTTCTCTGTTGAGATTTTCCCATAACCTCTTTGTTTTGACTATATTGATTCAACTTTCTAGTTGAATGCTTTTGTAGGAAAGAATATGAATCTTCTTCTTATAAGATGAAATAAAAATATTATTTCCCTTTTCTCTGCAGTCCATTTAATCCTATATTTCTTCCTTTTTGATAACATTTCTACATCTAGACTCTATCCAGTGCCCAGGAAGGGAAGAATGTAGCACATGAGAAGATTTTGGCATCAGCCTTGGATTCACCAGTTATCCAGCATTGGCCTGGGGTTATCCAACCTGAAAATGTCATCCCTATTTCTTGGGTTCTACAAGAAAAGTCAGGTGGGGAGCTAGCAGGCATGCTTCTGTTTATGGGAGAGAGTTGTTGTAGTTCAGTGGAAATGAGCTGATATAAATAACTAACTGATTTCTAGATGTTACACACATTAGAATTTTAAAAATAAAACTAAGCAAACATTGGCCTGAAAGTGACTAAAAGCTACTCCTTAGATGTTTCTGAGGCAGTCCCACCTTGCTTTGGCTCAGGAGACTGGCCACCTTATTTCCTAAGGCAGGGAGTTGGCAATTTCCAGCCTACAGATCAAATGGAACCAAATACTTCTTTTTGTATGGCCCCTGAATTAAGAGTGTATTTTATGTTTTTAAATGGTTGGAAAAAAGCCACCACAGAATTATAATATTTTAAGACATTGAAAATTATGAAACTTCTAATTTCAGTGTCCATACATTTTACTGGAACACAGCTGTGCTTTTTTTGTTTACATATTGCTTTAATGCTATAATAACAGAATTGAATTACATGGTGGGCTTATCTGATCAGTTTAGGCAGGGATCCCTTGCTTAGGACCCAACCTAAGGGGGTTGTTTTACTTCTATCCTCATAGGACTTCTTATTGTCAGAATTCTTTCAGAGAATTAGACTAAGAGAAATTTTAGTTGGATAATTATTATTTTTTAGAATAGTAAATAAATGATCTACACCCAATGGTTTTTTTAAAGATAAAATAGTAACATGTGTAATAAAATTAAATGTATTACCAAACATTTGATGAAATTCAAAAGCTCCAAACTGTTGATGCAATTGAATATGTTCTGTAGGCCATCATCTGGTGGACCTTTGGACTAATTAGGACTCACATATCCAAGAGAGGAGACACCAGCTTTCAGTTAAATAACTTTTCTCATCTTGTACACTTGAAGCAGATGATAAACAATTTATCTATTTATTTATTCATTCACTTAATTTATATGTTCATTTGTAGAGCACATACTGAGTGTATTTGAAGTGTCAGATAGCTATATGGGCAGTAAAGATGCAAAATTGAAGGCTATTTGATTCCTGCCCTAAAGACATTTTAGTCTGGTTGGGAAAACAGAAGAAAATTTGGGAAAACAGAAGAAAATTTGGGAAAACAGAAGAAAATCTGTGACAACAGTCCACTGTGAAAGAAACATGTAGAGGATGCTGTGGGACTGGGGGTAGAAAGAATAGATGGTCTTTGTGGCTGGAGTATGGATATAGGGTACATAAGAGAGAATGGTTCATAGTTTGGATAACTGAATAGATAGAAATGTGCTATTCACTAAGTTTGGCAACATAGATTGAGGTAATGATCAGTTTGAATCTAAAGATGAATTTGCAAAGATGAACATGCAAAGATGTCCATGTATTCAATACCTGAGTTTTAGTTTAGTAAAGTGATTTGGATTAGAAAAATGGATTTGAGAATCATCTGCTTAAGTTGAAGCTGCTAATGTAAATGAAGTAATGTAGGGAGAAATTGTTGAGTGAGAATGGCAGAGGGGCAAGGATGGATACCTTAAATTCACTTAAGTTTAACAGGTGAGTAGAAGAAAAGCTACTGTTGAAGAAGACTAAGTAGGAAAACAGAGAAGTAGAAGGAACTTTAAAAAAAATTCTTGTTTAGTTGTAGATGGACACAATACCTTTATTTTATTTTATTTTTCATGTGTTGCTGAGGTTTGAATCTAGTGCCTCACACATGCTCGGCAAATGCTCTATCACTGATCCCCAGCCCCAACCCAGAAAAGTAGAAGGAACTTTATGAAACAGCAAGAAAGAAGTCAGAAGGAAAAAGGAAGAGAATGGTCCATGGTGACATATATCACAGAGGTCAAAGAAGGGTGACATTGTACTGGTGGTAGATGAGGTTCTACAAAAGTGTTTGAAGAAGGAGCCCAAAATGTGATTACTGAGTTTGATGCCTTCACTTTGAGAATATTACTGTTCAGACCTGAAGAGAGGCTAGATAGATGGTAAATTAGAGTTCAGGATTTGTGAAGATATGAATTTGGAAATGAAAGTGTGGAATAATGTTAGTGTTTGAATGGGTTTCTAAGTTCCAGAGATAGGAAAATGATTGATTGTGGACCAGTGGACTAACTAACACCTGATGATAGGTGCCAACTGTGTTAGTCACCTTTTTGTCACTGTGACAAAATGCCTGAGAAAATAAATTTAGAAGAGAAAATATTTATCTTGGCTTACAAGATTCAGAAGTTTCAATCCATAGTCACTGGATATCATTGATTCTGGGCCTGTGGTGAGGTAGAACATCATGACAGGCAGGATATGGTAGAACAAAACTTATTTTATGGCAGTAAGAGAGAAGGAAAGGGTGAGGGAGAAGGAAGAGGGGAAGAAGGAAGAAGAAAGAAGAGAGAGAAAAGGGGCAGGAACTTCCAGGCTGTGCCCCCACTGACCTACTTCCTCTAAATAGACTCTGCCTCCTACAATTTCTATTGCTTCCCAATAGTCCATTCAATTAGGAACCCATCAGTGGATTAATCTGTTAATGAAATCAAAACCTTCATGATGCAGTCACTTTCCCAAAACCTCTGAATATTGCTGCTTAGGGGACCAAGGCTTCAACACATGAACCTTGGGGTACATTCCAGATCTAAACTATAACAGTGACAATGAAGTACAAAACAACTAATAAGTGACTCTTAAGGGTTCAGAATGAGCTAGCCATACCAAAATGATGGTGGGGGAAAAAAGGAAGTTCTTCAAGAAAGCAATTGAGGTTTTAAATTCTGTAAGGCTTTTTGAATAGCGCATGATTCTATTACATACTACTTGGTATCTCTTCTAATTTTAATAGAAGAGGTTATGCCACAGTAGATGTAGAGAGGAAAGTATCTGATTAGAAAAGCAAAGGAAGGAGATTGATGAATTCTAGGATGCAGATAATTCTAGGAGTTTGGTTTATGAAGTCTGAATTTTTATAATGGACACTGTCAAAGATAACATAGCCAGATATAAGTTAAAGGGGTGAAAATGTTTTATTCAGTAATTACTGACAGTAGGGGAAAGGGCTGAACTCCATTCTGACTTGGGTGTTTTAAGCATGTGTGTGGGGTGTAAAGGGGATCAGTGGAGCTAGAAAAATGAAAAATACAAAGGATTAGTCACTGTAAATAAGATTAGGTCAGCTGTTTTTCAGCTGGTACCATCAAAGTTAGAATTCTAGCCTTATAATGTAGTCTAGAAGACACAGGAAACTCATTCGTTTTTTATTTTTTAATTCTTTTGTGGTGCTGGGGATTGAACCCAGAGCCTTGTGCATGCAAGGCAAGCACTCTACCAACTGACTTATATCACTAGCCCAACTTATCCCTGTTGATGATAACATTAGGAAGGAATGGCTCTCTGGTCCTTGAGAGATACTTCTGAGTTGCAAGAGATAAAATTTTAAATCTTTTTGTGGTAAATGCCCTAAGGGACGTTGGCACCTATCACCAGGTTTTAGCTAGAATAAATAGTAAATTATCCTGGCAGTGTTGAGTTTTCTCAGGCAGACATTTTAGTAGAGAGACAGGGTCATCATAGAGACATACCTTCTGTTGCTGGAAGCTATGCTAGAGTTTGGTCAATAATTTTATGCAGGGGTTTGGGTAACGACCTTAGTACTGATAATTCTGTAGTTCTCAGAAGCAGTCACTTGTAAAAAAAAAAAAAAGTAGTGGCCATCTGGCCAGTGAACTCTTTGCTTGAGGGCTACTCCAGGAGAGCATACTTTTTTTCTGCTTTCTCAGAGGAGATGTACTGTGAATTGTGTGTGTGGAGGGATATAGAAAGTAGAGGGTTAGGGTATGGGTAGAAGAGGAAAGGCTTGTTACAGATGGCAGGAGGACTATGGACAAAGCCTTAGAGGAAAAGCCTTAAGCGTATATGTGAGGGTTGGTGATCATTTTAGCTTGTAAATGCAGATTGAATGCTCTGATGAAAAAATGGGGTAAGAAATTACCAGAGAAGCAAATTGAGTTGAGAGTATCAGTGGAGTTTTAGTTTTAGTTTTTAGAACACATTTGAATAGGGTTCCTGGATTCAAAGGAAATTTATTGGCAAGAGGGACTTTTATTGAACAATTGGTCCATATTGACTACACTGATTACTTTCGTTCCTCTCAGTGTCTTCCACCCCTGAATCTGCCTTAGATCATGAGAACTGCCAAGAAGACAGAGCACAGGAAGAAGTGCCATTGGTCAGCAATCCCCAGGTGAGTTTTGGTTTCCTTTCTTCTGGAGAGTATTATTCTCTGAATAAACCAGTTATACCCACTTGAATCAAAGTGTGAAATATGATATATCAAGAACTATGTAATGTTTTGAACAGCCAACAATAAAAAATTAAAAAAAAAAAAAAGAAAAAAAAAACAGTTATAATTTAAACCTTCAATCAAAGTGGTCTTTGACCATATAGCTTTAAAATTTAGATGTTTAATCCTCACTTAAAGAAGGTTTATTTGATTATTTAAGCCTGCCTTTTGATTTTATACCAATCCCTTTACTGTTTTCTATATTGTCTCCTGCCACTCCTTTCATAATCTTAATGAAAGTGATAGCATTTTAACAAAATCTCCTTGTTTATTTTATGAAGTCATTATGGGATTATTCCCAGGACAGCAAGTGTTTGTTGTTTCAGAAGCTGGTGATGTTTGAGGACATAGCTGTGTACTTTACCCAGAAGGAATGGATGTGTTTAATTCCTGCTCAGAGGGACCTCTATAGGAATGTGATGCTGGAGAATTATCAGAATTTGCTTTCTCTAGGTAAAGAATTTTATTCACTTACTTTGGTTCTGCTTTACTTTTTCAACTCATCCAGAAAGAATTTTGTTTTCTTCAGTGAAAAGTGGATAGTCGAGTTATATGTGTCTTTGCCTTTCAGGGACAGGAAACTGATTCTCTGATTTGGTTTCCTTCTGCCTTGTGATATGTTTGTATACTTTTTTGTTGTAGGGTGGTTTGTTGGGGATATTATGTATCCAGAAAAGTAACATATATGTTATAAACGTGCAGTTTGCTGAATTTTCAGAGTAAAAACTCTCCCATATAGTCACCCAACATTAAGAAATACAACTTTGTCTGAACTTAAGAAGCATGTCCCTTTGTGTCTGCTTCAGATAGTACTTCTACTCTACCTTCCTACCTCCACTTAAGTTAACAATTTTACTGACTTCTAACATGATTGGTTAATTTTGCCTGTTTTTGAATTTTAGATAAATAGAATTAAACAACATGTCATCTTTTGGGTTTTGCTTCTTACATTCAACTTTATATTTGTAAGATTTATTAATTTGTTGCCAGAGATTGAAGTTACTCATTCTCATTACTTATATTATTCCATTGTGTGAAAATTTTACTATAAAGAGACATTTGAGTTATTTTTAGATTTGATTCTTACAGTGCTGCTGTGAATATGGCTTTTCTTGAAAATATACATGTATTTTTGTTGTTTATAACTAGGAATGAAATTGTAGGGTCATAACATATGCCAAACAAAGTAGTTGTACATATTTATATCCCAGCAGCAATATTAATGCTTGGTACTGTCTTTTCATTTTAGCCATATGGTGGATGTATAATGGTATTGTGTGTGTTTTATTTGCATTTCACTGAGTAATTAAGTTGATCACTTTTTATTTAGATTTGTTTTATTGAATACCTATTTTGTCATGTTTATAATTAGTTTCTGTCCTTTTTTTCTTGATTTGTAGAGTTGTTTATATGTTTTGATGCTCTGAGGACATTTTTAGTCCATCTATTACTTTACTCCCAGCTTTTCTATCTCCTCTGATCTTTATTGACCTCTTAACTGCCTGTAAGTTTAGGATTAGGCTTTGGAGTAGTTTTATTTTACTTTCTAGGTAATTGTATCTTGTTATCTCCTTGCAAGGAGCACTTCAATTTCCCAAACCTGTTGTGATCTCCCAGCTTGAACAAGGTCAGGAGTCGTATATTCTTGATCCACAGGGAGCTGGGTTAAGAGTGGCTCCAAGAAGCTCCTGTGTAGGTATGTGAACCATAAAGAATCTGAGAGTTTCTACCTTATCTTTTCCTTTGTCTTTTTACCTAAGGACATATCATATAGCTCCTTCCCAGTTATATCTTTCATTTAAAATCTTTAGGAGGAAAAACCAAAAAACCTACACCCTGGTTTCAACCTGTATCTTTAAAAGTATATGAATCCCTTGCATCCTGGCTGACTGTATTTTTTTACCACTTTAGATAAAACTTTATAATCTCCATTTTGTTCATTCTCTTAACCTACAATTCTTAGTGTAATGGGATCTTCAATTCAGTCTTCTTTGATATTCTCCAGCTTTGCTTTCAAAAACATATTTGGCCTATTTTTATAAATTATTTTTCTGAGTGACATCTAAGGACCACCTACATATGAAACAATGGGAATGCTTATCGACAAGATATTACCTGGGGCAAGCTAGAATCTGTGCTTTTATGAGCTTCCAATATGATATGCCCATTAAAGTTTGAAAAACATTATTCTAAACTATGAGCTTCTTGGAGAGGCTGTAATCATCACCAGAACATATGCTGTATAATTCATGTTTAATAAATGTTTATTGTAGGAACACAGAAGAAGCCCATAGGTATACTAGTTTCTTAATCTAGGTGTGAGGGCAATGATTAGAATTTATGGATATGATCATTGCAATGACATTGTCCTTATGTTAAGGATAAACCTATTTTGGATTTTGATGAAAAGATTATTCATGGACATAAAATAGGTAAAGTTTATGGTAAAAAAAGTTAGATAAAATAGATACATGACCCAATTATCTGAAAGTTAATAAAATAGCATATATAACTATTTAGTTAATACAGGGTAGCAAAATACTTTCTAAGAGAATTAAAAAACAACTCAGTTCTGGTTTGACCAGAGTTGAATCAGAGTTAATCAGGGGAGGTTTCCTGTAGGAAGGGAGTTTAGTGATTTTCTGTAGGAGAGAAGTTTTGAATTATATTTTGAAAGAAAATACTGAAAATAATCTAATAGCTTGAAGAGATTGTGTTTAAAGTGAGATATGTAACATTAGGGTAGGTTGAACTGATTTGTTGAATTTTATTTCATCCTGAGTCCTTATGGTGGTATCATTTGAGATATAACCTATAATTTTAGCTCTACTAAGTTCAATTTGGAGGGTACTCTGAAGGTGTAAATCCCTATTTTTTATAAGCTTAGATTTTTCCATTCACCATTTTGCCTATATGTGGGTGTGTGTATGTGTATGTATATGTAGCACAGGTTGTGAATATGATGAATATGGAATATGTATCTACACACATATACATATATATTTGCTATTACTTACATGTATATGTAAATTAGAAATATATATATATATATATATATATATATGTATATATATAATTTTTTTTCTTTTTTTGTGGTAGTGGGGATTGAACTCAGGTCCTTATACATGCTATGCAGGCACCTACCACTGAGCTACATCTCCAGCCCTTTTTAAACATTTTATTTTATTTTGAGATGGGTCTCACTAAGTTTCCCACGCTAGTCTTGCCATCATCCTACCTCAGCTTCCTGAGTAGCTGGGATTATAGGTATGTGCCACTGTGCCTGGCCTGACCCAGTATTTTTTAAAATTAATTTTGTCTCGATTCTTTCCCCATAGATTTAAACAATATTTTGGTTTGAAATGTTTTATCACAACTCATCGTACTTTTTCCACATAATCAATCTTTTATTTATTTATTTATTTATTGCTACAGCTACACAAGTGCAATAAACAAGTGACACCACCCCCCCCCCCCACGCCCTTTCCTTTCTTTTTTAAAGATCCAGGTGTTAGAACCAAGATTGGGGATGAAAAATCAACTGAAAAACTAATGTTTGAAAATAAGGAGGCACACTGGGTCATGAAAAGTACCCAGAAGAATCAGTGTGGAAAATCCATAGGAGAAACACTGAAAAATAAGAATGAAAATTCTAGGAAGGTGAATGACAAAGCTAAGAAAATTATGATGGATGTGTCAGAACTAAAAGGTAAAGATCTAAAGGAAAGTTTGACTGAAAACTTGGAATATGTCATATGTAAGAGAGTTCCTAATGGGTGTAGTTTCTGTGAATGTAGCACAGGTTGTGAAAATACCTGTTGGCAGTCAGACCTTATTCTTCATGAGGAAATGCATGTCAAAGAGAAAGCTTGTGAATGTGATGAATGTGGAAAAGGTTTCAGGGTGTCCTCAGCTCTTACCTTACATAAAAGAATCCACAGTGGTGAGAAGCCTTACACATGTGATGACTGTGGGAAAGCCTTCAGCCAGAGCTCTGCCCTAACCCAACATAAAAGAATCCACAGTGGGGAGAGACCATATATGTGTGACCAGTGCCACAAAGCCTTCAATGGGAGCTCAGATCTTATTAAACACAAGAGAATTCACACTGGAGAGAAACCTTATGAATGTGGGGACTGTGGGAAGTCCTTTAGGAATATCTCGGCCCTCACTGAACATCACCGAATCCATACTGGAGAGAAACCTTTCGAATGTAATGAATGCTGGAAGGCCTTCAGTAGCAGGTCAGCACTTTCTCAGCATAAAGGGATTCACAATGGAGGGAAGCCCTATGAATGCAGTGACTGTGGAAAAACCTTCAAGACAAGGAATTGTCTTACCATGCATCAGAAAATTCACACTGGGGAGAAGCCTTATGAATGTAGTGAATGTGGCAAGGCCTTCCAGTTTAGGCACTGCCTTACCATGCATCAGAGGATCCACACTGGAGAGAAACCCTATGAATGTACAGAGTGTGGGAAGGCCTTTAGTGGTAGTTCAGACCTTACCAAACACAAGAGAATCCACACTGGAGAAAAGCCTTACCAGTGTGCTGAGTGTGGGAAGGCTTTCAGTTGCAGCTCTGACCTTACCAAACATAAAATAATTCACACTGGGGAGAAACCATATAGTTGTAATCAGTGTGGAAAGGCCTTTGGTGGGAAGTCAGACCTTACCAAACATAAACGAATCCACACTGGGGAGAAGCCTTATGAGTGTCAAGAGTGTGGAAAAGCCTTCAGTTATAGCTCAGGCCTTAGACACCACAAGAAAGTCCATAATGGAGAGAAACCCTTTGAATGTAATGAGTGTGGGAAGACCTTTCATCAAAGCTCAGAACTCAATGTACACAAAAGACTCCACACGGGAGAAAAACCATATAAATGTGAAAAGTGTGGGAAAACTTTCAGGGTGAGCTCAGATCTCAATGGGCATAAAATAAGAAAGCATACTAAGGAGAAATCCCCTGAGTTTGCAGATGAAAAATCATTGAGTCCAATATGCTTTCCTCAACCTTATGCACATCTACCTCCTTGCAGCAGTTGATACCAAGGAGACCTTACTTTTTGGAGATATAACCCTGATTAATATTGTATCTTGCCTATTGTTATTCTCATTGCTCTTACCTTACCCTACTTTTCCCCCATAGCTTTTAATAACTAATAATATATTTTATTCATGCTATTTATTTGTATGTATATTATCTTACTACTTTGATAGAGTATAAACTCCACGCAGGCAGGAAACCTTATCTTTTGTTAACTGATGTATTATTATTCTAAGCCACTAGAATCTTGGCTGATAAATGGCAGGAGGTTGTGGGGGTGAAGTGGAGTGGGGGAGGAGGAAAGAAACTCAATAAATAGTTTTGAATGAAATTAATTCCTTGGTTTCCATGATATGCTGTTTCTTGGTTCCCCTTTTGTGTTTCCAGTTGTTTTTCCCCTTTGTCTTTGTTGACTACTATTGGTCCCCTCATCCATAAAATGTGGCTGTATATCATTATGCTCTGTTATTTAAGAAAAGAGTCTTCATTGTCTGCATTGCCTAGTTGCCTGTATATTCTCCTAACCTTCACAACAATCTTGTTTGACAAAATATTACTCTGTTCTCACCTTTATGTCTATAATGTGTTTAATGTAAATAAACTATACACATGCTATTTCTGTATTAGATTGGGCATTTCAAGGCATTATCATGGAAGGGAAAAAATAAATGTGTTTATGCCATTCTCTTATCTGAAGGTCAAGAAAGAAAGAGGTTCTTTTATCTCAAGAATGTGAGCAAAAAATATCAATACTGTATTTAAAATCTATACTAAATCCATTTTTTAAAAAAACATGTAGGTAGTTCCCTGTGTGTACTATTGCATCCTTATAGTATGGACTCTAGACACACTTTACAGAGCAGTCAACAATATTCTTTAGAAATGCAGATTAGGTAATGTACTTAAAATTCTCCAGTGGCTTCTTGTCACTTTTTCCTCCTTTTTAAATGGAACATTTTGTCGCATTTGCTAATTTCTTCCTGAACCATTTTAAAATAAGTTTAAGATATACCACCTATCCCCAAACACTTCAGTATGTCTCTCCTGAGAATAAGCATATTTTTTCATAATTGTAATGTCACTTTTATTCCTAAAAAATGATTTATACCTTATTGAATTATAAATTACAACAAATATCTTACCTATATTCAAATTTCCTTGTTGTCTTTAAAAGTCTTTTAAGCTGTTTTTTCCCCCCATCAGAATTCAATTAGGGTATACACTTTGCAACCACTACATTTTTTTTTTTTTAGTTTATTTTGATCTAGAATCATGCTGTCTATTACTGTAGTCAATAGCCACATGTCTGCTGAGCACAAATAGAATCATGCTGTCTATTACTGTAGTCAGTAGCCACATGTCTGCTGAGCACAAGTGAAAATGGCTAGTCTGAATTAAAATGCGTGACAAGTGTAAAATACATAATCAGTTTTGATTTCATGTAGAAAATAAAATTCTTAATTTTAATGTTGATTAATGCTGATATAATAATTTGGATATATGGGTTGAATAAAATATAATTAAAATCAATTTCAGCAATTTTTACTTTTGGCACTAGAAAACTTAAAATACATATGTAGCTTATAGTTGTTGCTTACATGGTATTTCTATGGGATATTGTGAATCTAGAACAATGGACTCACTTTCTCTTTTATGACATTAACTTTTTGAAGAATTTAGGCAAGTTATCTTGTTAGAACATCCCATATTCTGAATTCTCACTCTTAGAATAAAAATCATGATCTATAAAGTAAAAGGCGCTGCCTGCATTGTTGTTTCTTTTCCTTGCTGCTTTTATTATAGGGAAACTTGCCTGCAAGCAAAGCAAAAGGTACAGAGGCAAAGCAAAGCTCCTTGCCTGAGCTACTAGCTTTATTTATATTCATAGGTTATCTTAGGTCATTGGTATGGTTAGTATATATTGTTCATTGTATCACTAGGCAGGTTACAGAGTTAGCAACATTATGCAGCTTATTCCTCAATTACATACTAAGTTGCAATGTGCAAGGTTAGGAGCTCTTAAGAAAGTTCATCATTGGGGCTGGGATTGTGGCTCAGCAGTAGAGTGTTCCCCTAGCACCGGCGGGACCTGGGTTCGATCCTCAGCATCACATAAAGATAAAGACAGTGTGTTGTGTCCATCTACACCTAAAAAATAAATATTTTTTTAAAAGAAAGTTCATTGTATAAAGTTACTGTTAGTGGATAGGTTTAGGTGCAGTGAAACATTGTGGTTGTCTAATAAGAGAGCTGAGTGTCTAGTGTCAGGGCTGATAAGACTCTAGCGTAAAGCCTCTTCATGGAGGGCATTACCATAGCAGTTAGGCATTGCACATGTATTAGTTATCTTACTAGTTCCTGGGAGAAACTGCAGAATATTCCAAGTATGGAAAACAAAATGCTTGTTATCCCTTGGATTTTGCTCACCAGAGTAAATTCACTGTCTTATACATTGAATCCTTACACTTGCCTATGATTTTTCACATAATCCACACTAACTTTTTTGCTGTTCAGCAAACAAAACACATTACCATTTTTACAATTTCCTAAGAATTTTTCTCCTCATGATTTTTACAAGACTAGTTCCCTTAGGTCTCTGCTCACATATGATACTTAGAGACACTATCCTGGCCATCTATAAATTAGCACTTTTCATCATTCTCCTTACCTTTCTTTATCTTTCTTAGTAACATTTATGACTACCTACATTTTATTGTATATTTGCTTATTGCCTGAGTTATGGATTTAATTATATCTGCCCCCAACTTATACATTGAAGTTATAAAAGTCTCAGTATCTCAGAATGTTACCATGTTTGAAAAAAAGAGTAATTGCTCTTGCAGTCATGATGAGTCACTAGAGTAGGCCCCAATCCAGTATGACTGGCATATTTGTAAGAAGGGGAGATCTGTATATAGACACAGGGAGAGCACCGGTGAAGATGATGGCAGAGTCTGGGGTAATAATACAAGTCAGGTTATTTCAGTGATTGCTAGCAAACCTCCAGGAAAGAGGATTGGACTAAAATTTCCCTCATAGCCCCAGAAGGAACCAGTTTACTAAAACCTTTATTTCTAATTTCCAGAATTGTGAGAAAAGAAATTTCTGTTTTTTAAACTGTCCAATTTGTGGTACCTTATTACAGCAGCCCTACGACAATAATCCATACTTCTGCATAATATATATTTTCTGCTATGTGTCTTAAAGTTGGGCAAATTTTTAATTTTTTCAGCCAAGAAAGGCTAGCTATTACTAGCACTGAACCCTTGATAAGATCTCTTTGAGAATAATAACCATTCATTTGGTGGCAGGTTAATCACTTGGGACCTTCTCTACCTTTCAGTGGGCAGAGACTCATCCTTACAGAGATTTATATGTATTCCAGCATGGTTTTGTCTTCCCTGTTGCTAGTAGCTCAGCTAATATCATCACTAAAGAACTTAGAGTTTCTGATATATTGAAATGGTATCTTGCCTTAACATCTTAGCCCTAAAGGATTTGTTCTTGCCACATTATATATTATATAGGAATGGCCAGTCTGTTTCCCCATAACTTTGCCAACAAAATAATTAGCAAAACTTGTAAATTATATGATACTATATTTTAGGAGGAGTACACTGGTGACTGAAATTGGAACTAGGTGGGAAAGCAACTGGAGTAGTGGAGACCTGCTAGCTCTTTGGAAACAAAGGTACACATGAGTTATAAGGGTGCAGGCTAGAGTAACTGTTGATATGACTGTAATTCATTGAGGGTGAGGTTTCGGTACTTTTTTTAAAAAAAAAATTGCTAAAGGATACAGAATTGACTAAATCTATCCCTGTCAATCACTCTGACATTCTGCTTTATATGACATTTGTAAGGAAATTAAAAGGAACAGTAGCCAAAAAGACTTATTATAATGGTTAGCATTTATTGAACACTTAGTATCCTAAATATTTCATTTGTTATATTTTGTTTAATCCTCTGTGGGGCAATGAACAGAATATTAAAATATGATCTTGGGATCTCACTCTAGATTGCCTAGGAAGTGAGCTAGTGCACCTAACCTCAGCTTCCTATAGACCAGCACCTTACACTTCCTAATAGGAGGGGCTGAAATTCCCTACCAGATAGATAGTCCCCAGGTGGTAAGTAGATATCTTCAGATGCTTCCTTCTCTTTGCTAATGTCTAAACCCAGACAGCCAGGCAATCATGTAGTTTGCTTATTATTTTACTGCAAATTGGTATTCAAGGCTATCCTTTGAGAAGGCAGAACAGTTGGGTCAGAACTAGAACACCAACCTACTTCATGTCAAATGCATGGCCTTGGTTCATCTCTGTGGGATTATGAGAAGACTCCACTGGCTCTTGTGCCTGACTCTTGGTTCTAAGTTTCCTCAGTAAATTTTATTTCTTGGTTTGTACTACATGATATTGTAGATTTCATCCCCAAACCCCTTGTATCACATCCTTGCAGTAAATTTATGAGTTAGAGATTACCATTTATGTTTTCAAGGTGAGGAATATGAAGCACAGATAAGGTCACATAGGTAGTAAGTGGTAAGATTTGAAATTGGGTTGTTTGATTTTTGAGCCAATGATGTTAAAAACTTTGTTGAATAAAAGGGAACTGTCAATTTATAAAGAACTGAAAGAGCACTCCACTATTCAAAGAAGCACCAATGGAGAAGGTCAGTTCTCATGCAGAGGTTCCAAGTCTGAGTTGGAGCATGTAACCTGGCTTTTTCTTCAGTGGTGACTTTTGAAGTTTAGGCTCATGTCATCTCTGGACAGCTCATGGAAAAAATAATTTGGAAAAAGTGGCAAGTAAGATAACTGGTCTACTGAGAAGCCAGTCTCAGTGCCTTGGCTCAGAGAAGAGGAAAACCAAGACAAAGCATGGAAGATGGGTTTGTGTCTTTTAAAGTATGAAAACACTTTCCATAGTAATCAAGACTTTGTTGATGTCCTAGAATTTGACCAACCAGATTAATAGTACCAGTAGTTAAGAAAGG